TTGAAATAATATAGTCGAACTCAAGGGTCTCACCGTTCACTTACATGATTCTTTTGCCCCAACGAGTGTGTAAATGCTACATGTTGGCTTGCCGTGTCCGCTTTTAATCATTGTTTCCGTTTAACCTCAATAAATAGCTAAATGATAGGTGACCGCTCAGTTCGCTTTTAAACGCTTAGGCTAATGTTAAGTAGTATCAGACTTGATTGGTGTGATGTCGGTGCAAAATGTTATCCACAAGTAGAGATGCGAGTGTGAAATTTTACTCGCTTTGTTAGGTAATTCGTGGCTATTTGCTTCACCCACATGGCTACACTTTACCTAACCTGTTGCCATCTCTCTCTATCTGCCCATGTGACCAAGGTAATTCATAGGAAGATTTCTAAACATAGTCATTGTTTTGTCAAATAATCACACTTTGCTCATATTTTCAAAATGATAAGTAAGTTTAGGTTCAAGCTCCCCGCAGCCTTGTGGAACTCCACGTTAAATACAGTGAGAGGATACAATGATGATAAGCAAGATAAAAGAGATCAATGATAATCCAGGTGATATCATAATGATCGATAATCTGGGTGAGGTCACTCAACTGTCAAAAAATTGCTGCTAGTCCTCAATCATCTGCAAAATATTCACTGACAGAAAGGAACTATTGTATTGATTGAGCACATATATATCTGGTGGAGAATTTTTATTTTAATCCTTTTTATTCAATATTTTGATAATAATAGTTCTTATTTTTTTATGGATTTGACACTTTTGCGTCTACAATATGCTTGGGCCACATCAAATAACGAATGTCGCGCCACATGCATTGAAAGCGCAACATATGCCCACGTTAGACGGCGTTTTCGATGGAAAAGCGTTAGTTCGCTACTCCTCGTTGACGTGATGATTGTTCGCCGCGTACATCGAGTTGTCAAGAGTTCGTTCTTTCACGCCGCTACCGGATGACACGATGGAACAATCATCACGCCAGTAATGGCATGATAAGCGTTTTTCCACGTCGGAACGCCGCGTCTAACGTGGCGTGGATGTTGCTTGCCGTCAATGTATGTATGCTGACAACGTTATTTGGTCGCATCATCGGCAGCCAGCGACCAAAAGGATCAGATCTCAAAAATTTTAGGAGCAATTATTATTAAAATATTGAATAAAAAAGGATTAAAAATAAAAATCCCATCTAGTCGATAGATGGTGAAGAGTGTTTAGGGTAGTATTTTTGCCAGTTAATTGCATATATACTAATACTAAGATGTGATCAACTAATTCGTTCATGGTCCTTGTTTCTTAGAAAAGAATGGGTCGAAGCATCATACCATATCCAATTTCTTTCAGTCTCATAACACTGAAAGATATTTAGATGCAAATAAACTCATTGTTTGTGATTGCTTCAACATGGGTGTTCGGACGTTCGCGTGCAACGAAGCCTTATTGTGGTTTGAAGACAAATTCTACTACATAGACCTCTAGTTTTGTGTAAGTCAATATAGTTGTTCCTTGTTGTATATATAAAAACAAATAATTCTAAATTTTGTAAAATGAACCGTCGATATCTCAATTTGGATGAGATTCGCGGCAGTGTGATGTCAAGCTAGATTACAAAAAGCTAGCAAAATTGCTTGAATGGTGGCCTGACATAAAGTACAATATTTCACATTGTAGCCGTGTAAGATATGTTCTGTATACTCCTTTAAAAACTCATATTCTATCATTTATCACTTTATAGACAGGGTGTCTGTTTACATGTTCTACTGCCATACCATTGACTTAAGCACTACACATTATACATAATAGACATGGATACCAGAACTGTGTCCATTATGGATCCTCGACCTAAAAATTTAGAGTTTAAGTTTAAGGTTCTGATCCATGCATGCCATATATACACAAATTACATAATATTGCCAATAATTTTAAACTCACCATGAACTTGGCACATACTACATGGAAAGATAATATTTATTACTAGGGTCGTAAATTTCTAACATGGGTTCCAAAACATTGGACTATAACTTATAATATGTTTCATCTTTATTATCAATAATCATTGATTTATTACAACTATTAAATATGTGCACTTCTCCAGCAACCTGACAATATTTCTTGTATACAATTGTTTGCGGTCGTGGATGACATAAGATTGCCATTGATAAACATTAATTGCGCGTATATATTCTCTATGTATATTTTACAGACTAAATAACAAATTAATAAGTATATGTCATGCACAGGGAGCACATTCAAACGAATCTTTGGTGGACATTTTAAAGTGCAATGCAAATGAACGTTCTATGACCTACTTAAGCAAATCAGAAATGAGTGAGACGAGACATAACTTATTTATTGCCCTGTTATGTCACATGCATTATGTGATAAAATCAGAAATGAGTATATGAGAGTGAGACGTCAATGAAAAGGGTTTTTAGGGAACGCGCAGTGTGACACAACTGACGCTAGGTTCGCAGAGTGGAAAGAGGGACCAAGGGGAGACGCGTCGCTTCGCCTTCTTGCCGCCGCCGCCTCCCTCCCTCCGAGTTCGAGGTACCATTTCTTGATCGCCAAATCCATGTCCCGGCACGACCGTGATTACCGCTAAACCCTACATAGATTTCATGTGTCGAATGCGCCTTAACCCAATTCTAAGGTTTTTGCCGTGAAAAAATTATTAAGGAGTGCTCCTTGGTAGGGTTTTGGTTTTGCAAATGGTAAACTGCATCGTTGAATCTCGTTCTTCAGTTGTTGTGATTCCCAGCCCTAATAGTAGGTACAAAGATATTGTGATTCATGCTTACATATGCGCCAATGTACATACTCTGATGAATGTCGTTGTTCATTTTTTTTTGTGATTCCTTCCCACATATAAGGTGTATAATTATCCTCTCAAAAAGTGTATAATTATAAAATTTCAGGCTTCTTGCTTTTTGTGTTCATGGAATTTGCTTGGGACTTATTGTGCTTTGGCTTGGTGGTTAGGATATGGAGCCGTCAGATTCGGATGAATATTCAGGCGCACATGCAGCTGATGTCGTCATGGAGGACCTTCTGCTAGGTCCATCTCGCAAGAGGAAGATCGAATCATCATCAGTCGCGTATGCCGGTGATGTTGTTATGGAGGAGACTCGATGGTCCATCTCCCAAGAAGGTTGACATTCATCGGGCAATTGACCTCATGAGGTTTGTCTTCAGAGAAGGGATGCCTTACCTAGACAATGGGTCAGGGAGATCTTTTGCAGAGAGGATGATTGTGGACATGTCAGGCTCCATGGTAGACATGATGTTTCAGGATCCTGGTATTTCCCAGCAGAATGCTCCCGGTCGGATGTGGACGATGACACCCACCCTCGACAAGGATATTGCACATGCATTTGCTAAGGAAACAAGAAAAGGTGTCGGCGGTGTGGTCCAGGGAGATTTCTATGGGATATTTGTCGATACAATTCATATACCCAGCACGATTATGTCCTGTATGGTCCTGTTTGTGCGCTATCTCAATGGCGAGGGTGATGTGGTGGAGAGGCTTCTCGGTGTTGTGCCAGACCCTGATTTCGGTGGTTTATCTATCAAAGTGATGGTGGATTCGATGCTTTCTGAAGCTGGATTGAGTTTGTCGAAGCTTCGTGGTCAAGGCCATGGCTTGTTTGGTTACGACGATGAATTTTCACCGAACTAAAGACATTAATCACTAACGAGAATGGATTGGAGTACTACGTTCATCCTTATCTCTGCCAGCTGCATTCTTCTCTTGTACATTCTTCCTGTGGTCAGTTTAAAGTTTATGAGCTCTTCCAAACTGTCGATGCACTGTCAAATCTAATCAAAGACTGTCCCCAGTTCACAGAAAAGGTTTGTTCGCTAATACAAGAGAGGTGGCACCTGGCCAGTGATCTTAAGAAACCTGGTGAAACAAGCTGGGGTTCATATTATGAGGCACTCGTGAAATTTGCTGCTTATTTTTTATCCAATTTGTGATGCACTTTACTTTGTGAGTGAAGAAGTGAAAGACCATGATCAGACATATCTGGCATACAAAGTACTTAAAGGATTGTCCTATGACTTTGCCTTTGGCTTGCTTTTGATGCAAGATGTACTGGGTGTTACAAATGAGCTTTCACTGGCCTTGGACAGGAAATATGTGGACGCAGAGAACTGTATGGCTCTCTCCAGGAGGCCAAGAAGCAGCTGCAGGTAATGAGGGATGAAGGATGGACATCCTTCCTCAACAAAGTCGAGCTTGTTTTGCAGTGAAAATGAATTCCCCATGCCCAATATGGGAACCAAATTTGAACCCCGGCCGAGATTGAGGGCAATGCTCCAACGATGACAAACCTGGAGCACTACCATATTGATTTCTTCTGAAAAGGTTATCAATATTCACCTCAACGAGTTTGACAAGCGTTTCAGCAAGCAAAGCTCTTCGTTGTTTGTTCTTTCATCGTGCTTAAATCCACAGAATGCTTTCCAAGCTTTTCACAAGGAGAAGCTTCTCAGTATGCTCGGTGTTAGCCCACGGGATCATCGTCTGCGACAATAGTGAACTAGTTCCCGACACCGCTAAGGTTCCCAGGATCACTAGTCTCTCGGGACTGTAACACTAGTCTCCTGCAGGACTACTAGTCTCTCAGACTAGACCACTAGTCTCCTGCACCACTATACCCAAGTTGTGTCCATTACCCACACACTATGGATCGAAGCTAGAAGAAGAAGGAGAACAGAGCAAGCACGCACAATACAAGACAACAACGTTGGTCGAGGCCCCTGCCTCGTGTGATGGCAAATCTGAGCTCTCTTTCATCGAGTTGCCTTGGTGCCTATTTATACAACTCTATCTATCTAATCTAAAGTACAGCACACATGCTCGTAATAAAGAATTAGATAAGCATACAGTATTGACTTCCACGGCACGATGTGCTTTGCAAAGGCTCACATTGAACTGAACCGGGCGCCTTTCACACTGCGAGCTGCTGGCGTGACAATGACAGGGCAAAGTCGGCGCCGCCTTCATCTCATTGCAGCCATTACAGGTGGCGAGATTAGCTAATAATCTTCCCCATAATCCCTCATGCTAACCCTTGCACCCCCTCCATGCCGATCATCTCCTTCAGCTCGGTGCTCTCCCGAAGTGCGTGGCGCTGTGCACAGCCGCGTCTCCACCGCCGTGGATGACCAAGTGCTCGACGAAGGTGTTGGTGAAGCCTCCCGCTTCCCCGTGCTTTCGGATCGCGCTAGTCCCAAGCTGCCTCCTCGTTGAACATAACGTCGCATGAGAGAGATAGTCACCTTGTCTCCGCGTGGGTCATAGAGCCGATGCGCCTTGGTACCCTCCGCGTGAGCTCAGTGAACACCATGGGTGTGCTCCTGCCCTCCATCTTGGTGAGGTTTGGCTTTGTCTTCCCGACATGGCCGATGCAACCTAATGTCCGGAGGAATGACACGTTCGGCTTGCTCCGTACCAAGCTTCGAATCAGCGTCTTGCCCGTTAGGGCTTTAGTTGGAGCGCGGTTGAGGATGAACACCGCCGTGGTCATCGCCTCTCCCGAACTTTACCCGCATCCTTTGGCCTTCATCATGGATCGGGCCATGCCGACCACTCGTCGGTTCCGTCGCTCCCACCACGCCATTCTCGTTGTGGCGAGGCACGCGGCGCGGCGTGATGTTGCCCCACACCTTGATTCATGCGCGATGCGTAGCAAACTCCACCGAAGTGAATTCGCCACCCCGACGATCCTCGACACGGAGCTTCTTGCCGCTCTCGGCCTCGGCGCTGTGTCTTGAACTTCTTGATCGCCACCGCCGCTTCGCCCTTGCTCATCGAGTTGCGCCACATGTAGCGCATCGCAATCGCCCACGGTAGGAGGAAATACCGCCGACCACCGCATGTAGCGTGTGATCGGCCCGCAGAGGTCGCCGTGAACTAGCTCGAGAGCTTCTTTGCGCGATACTTGGCCGCCTTTGGGAAAGGTAGCCTCTTCTACTTCTCCGCCAGCATTGTCACATAGCTCGCCTCCGTGTTTGACGTGGGGTAGCCTCGGACCATCTTCCCGACCAACCAAGCGCGTCGGTTGAGATGTCCGAACCGGGCATGCCACATCCACGGTTCCTGAGTGCCTTGCCGCCAGCAAACCGGCCGTTCTACCTTCAGTCGAAAGGTGTACAACCGGTTCAAGGACCTCTTCACCTTGGCGAAGTCGCCGCTCCGTCTCTCGATCCTCGAACGCCGTCCTTGATCAAAACCTCGCTATCGAGCTCATCCAAATTTGACCAATGCCGATGATGCCGAATGTAGCTGCGGGATGTATTATACATCCGTTAGCGATGTGCTCCCGTTCTAGCATCTCAAGATGATGGTGCCACACCCTTGATAGCCAGCCACCCTTGAGCCAGCCACTAAACTTCATCGTCTGCATAACATCACCGTCGAGCTCGGAGAAGGAGTCTTTGGAGCCCGCATATGTGGTTACTCGGCACCGAGTCCGAGATACCACCGCTGCTCCGGGTCGACGCCCACATGCCCAAGATGGACTTGGGCGCGTGGTTCGTCGAGGTTTCCACCGTCTTTAGGCGCACATCGTACGTACGTGCGTCGCCATAAGAATAGTGGCCTCATCCTCATCATCGGCTTTCGCCGTGTGAGCTCGAGCCTTCTTTTCCTTCTTGCGATTTGGGCACTCCCGTGCCCAATGGTCCCATCTTCCCGCAACACCGGCAAGCGTTGAGTCGATTTGCTTCTTCTCCGAAGAAGCCTCGCCGCGATGTTTGCCGTTGCCACCGCTGATTGGAGGAGGCTGCCTTCCTAGAGTTTCGCCGAAAGCAACCCCTCTCCTCTTCCGTCGGCAGGAGTTTCTCGCATTTGTCGCCGTTCTTTGTCGCTTGCTCCAGTGCTCGTCCACCGCCCATGCAGATGGCCTACCACATCCTCGATGGTGAGGGTGGATAAGTCCAAAGATCGCTCTCTATGGATAGAGCGATCTGGATGTACTTTTGGCCGCGACGACGGAGGAAACTTGGAGACCGCCTCCTCTTCGCCGATGGTGACGCTGCGGGCTCTTTAGCTTGGTCGATGAGCGTCTGCAGCGGAGGAAAAGAAGACCCACCGTTTCACCATCCTTGAACTTGAGGTTTGCATACTCTCTTGCTTTAGAAGTTGGGCGTTGCCTTCTTTGCGCGATGCCGCAATGGCCTCCCATGCCTCTTTTTTAGTCGAGCTCTTCGTCTCAACGGTTCTCTTATGTATTCGTCGGATGCAATGCAGCGAGGATAGCCTCCAACGCCGATATGTCGTCTTCTTCCACGTCGAGTGCCTTGTCAACAGCCTTCTAGAGCCGCAGGGCTCGAAGCTTGACCTTCATGGTCACCGACCACTCTCTATAGTTAGTTCGAGTCATTGGCCGGCCAAGTGGTGGTGCCGACCTCCCGCAGATCATGCGGACAACTACCTCCGGTGAGTGTGGTGGGCAGCCTGATAGTGCCACCGCCATCGCCCAACTCTCAAACCGCCTATCCTCGCCATCGCCGGTTAGAATGAATGACGACGGCGCTTGTATGCTCTCGATACCACTTGTTAGCCCACGGGATCACCGTCGACGATAGTGAACTAGTCTCTGCACCACTAGTCTCTCTCTAGTCTCCCTGACCACTAGTCTCCTGAACCGGACCACTGTCTCCCGGACCACTAGTCTCCCGGACTACTAGTCTTCCACCAGCACCACTAGTCCTCGGACCAATATACCGTGGGTTGTGTCCGCACCCACACACTATGGATCGAGCTAGAAGAAGAAGGGAGAGCAGAGCAAGCACGCATAATACAAGACAACAACGTTGGTCGAGGCCCTGTCATGTGATGGCAAATGTGAGCTCTCTTTCTCGAAGTTACCTTGGTGTCCTATTTATACAACTCTATCTATATAACTAAAGTAATAGCATATTTACATACTGTAATAACTAGATAAGCATACTGAGGCCTGACTCTGCGCTTGCCACTTTGCATGTAGCTACTGATCTTAGGGTGAACTGTCTGGCCTGCACTGACTAGCGCCTACATGATTACAGTAGGGGGAGCAAAATCGGTGCCGCCTTCATCTGCTGTGTTTCACATAAGGTGACAGTAGATTAGCTAACACTCGGCTCTACCCATCCGACTTCTCTGATTCTGACACAGCAACACTTGATCGGCAACTTGAAGCCTTTGTAGCAGACATGTGCTCTGATGTTAGGTTTCGTGAAATGAGTGCTCTCAGTGAACTTTCAGTTAAGATGGTGGAGACAGGCAAGTCCACCGTGTATCCTCTGGTATATCTGCTTCTAAAGCTTGCTCTCATCCTTCCTGGGACACCGGCCACCGCCAAGACAGCATCCTCTGCGATTAAGTTCATAGATAGCACGATGCAGGAAGAACCTTGCAACCAGTGGATCAGTGACTGCTTATTGTTGTTCCTGGAGCGTGACATATTTGAAAGTGTTACCAATGACGCTGTCATTGCATCCCTTTGAGGCTACATTGCTGGGATGGTAACTAGGCTACATTGCATTATGGAGGAGATGGTTTCATGAGCTGTTAGCCTGTTACTTTGTCTGCCCAACATATGCATTTTTTTTTCTGTATGTCTTGGTTTGTTCGTCTAAATGCAGCGCCTGATGCATGAACCGGATTATATAGTTTTGGATATTTGGACT